GTAAGTGTCTCATTTGAGTGTCTGGGGCCGGGTGCCAGTGGACGGGGGGGGGGGGGAGAATAATAGTAGTGCATGCAAGCGGACACGCAGACGAAACACACGCACACGCAACATACATACAGTCACACACACACACACGCACGCACTCTCATCTCTCTCTCTCTCTCTCTCTCTGTCCTCTCTCTCTCTCTCTCTCTCTCTTCTCTCATCTCTCTCTCTCTCTCTCTCTCTCTCTCTCTCTCTCTCAAACACACACACACACACAACACACACACACACACACACACACACACACACACACACACACACACACACACACACACACACACACACACAGCACACATACAGTCACACACAGTCACACACACAACACAACACACACACAACACACACACACCACCACACCACACACACATCACACACTACACACACACACACACACACACACGACGCACTCACTCTCTCTCAGACTCTCTCTCTCTATCAGCACACACACACTCAGCACACACATACACAAAGTCACACACACACAACTTCACACACACACACCACACACGACAACACATCTCACACACACCACACACAAAATCACACACACACACATACAGTAACATGCAGTCACACAGCAGCACACACAGACAAACAGCACTAACAAGTATTTGAAATTTTACACAACCACACACATCACACACGACACTTTACACACCCACACATCACAACACACACACACACACATCCGGAAATACACACAGTTGTGGATATATTCTACGATTCGCACACGCACACACAGTTAGTGGTTGTTTCACACAAGGGTGCATGACACACACACTACAGCCAGCACAACAGCTTCACATACCACTAACAACATTCACACATTCACATTGTATGCATGTGTGCCTTGGCAAGAAAAATATTTTTTGTATTTACTTATTCGCATATATATATATATGCTATAAATACTACCATATTATTGTATTTCATATATATGATTATATATGTTGTGTGTTGAGAGAGAGAGAGATGAGAGAGAGAGAAGAGAGAGAGAGAGAGAGACGAGAGAGGAGAGAGAGAGAGAGAGAGAGAGAGGAGAGAGTAGAGACGGAAGGGAGGGAGAGAGCAAGAGAAAGAAAAGAGGAACAGATATTGAGAAAGGGAAAAAGAGACAGAGAGAGAGACAGGCAGACAGACAGACAGACAGATAGAATAGAGAAGGGGAAAAAGAGACAGAGAGAGAGAGTGAGACAGACAGAGAAGACAGAGACAGAGAGAAAGAGAGGAGATAGACAGAGATAGACAGACAGATAGACAGATATATATATATATATATATAGAGAGAGAGAGAGAGAGAGAGAGAGAGAGAGAGGAAGAGAGAAAAGATAGGCTACATATATATATATATATATATATATATATATATATATAATATATATATAATAGAGGAGAGAGAGAGGAGAGAGAGAGAGAGAGAGAGAGAGAGAGAGAGATCAGGAGAGAGAGAGCACGAAGCAGCCTTTCAAGTTCACACATTTGTTACATGTGGTAAACTTTATCCTTGTCAACATTATACAGCGGTCAGTGACATCATCTCGCTAAGCACTAGGTATTTAAACACATTTTCAAATTCATGTTTTTATTGATTTCTAAAGGAATACTGATAGTTGTTTGTTGTTTCTTAATTTGTCCACATTTCTGCGCACTTCACACCGCGACGACAATAATGATGTTAGATATTTCATTAACACATTTATCAGTATAAAACGTGTTTCCCTTTTAATTCACGAAATGAAACGTCATGGTCAGGGCCGTGATCATGATTATTTTATGATACGGCCAAATTACTGTTATCTAGAGGAATCCCAGAAATGCCCCGTGGTCAGTCGAGTCAGAGGGAGGGAGGCGGGGAGGAGAGAACTTCCGCCCGCGGTTGGCACAGGGAAGGGTTGTGAGGGAGCGAGGCTGCGTGGCGCTATGGAGGCCCTGGCTCTCCTCTCCCCCTCCCTCTCTCTCTCTCTTCTTTCTTTCTTTTCTCTACTCTGCTCTGTCTCTCCTCTCTCTCTCTCTCTCTCTCTCGCTCTCTCTCTCTCTGCTTCTCTTCTCTCTGCTCTGTCTGCTTCCTCACGTCTCCGTATTGGTCCATCTCAAATCAAATCCGGCTCGATTTTTTTTGTTTTTTTCTCTCTCTTTTTGTGTTTCTGGCTCTCTCTCTACTTCCTCTCGTCATCTCCCATCAGTTCCCGCTGCTCTCATCTCCTCATATCTCTCTCCTTCATCTTCTCGATTTTGCTTCTCTTCTCGTACTTCATCCTCTCTCTCTTCTCTTCAAATACTATTTGGCAGTCTCGCATTCTTCTTGTTTATGTCTCTCTCATACTGATTTCATGTCTGTCTTCATCATCATTCATCTGACTTCTGGTGGTGGGTCTGTGGGCCTGTCTCATCATTCTCTCGTTGGTCTCTCTCATGCTCTCCAGTCTCCTCTTTCGTCACTTTCTTCTCAGTCATTGTATTCCCTTGTCTGGGTGCTCTGCTCGTCGATCGTTCTCTCTCTCTATTGTCTTCTCTGTCATGTTGCTGGTGCTGTTCTCTTCCGTCGTCACAAATAGACTCCATACTCTGTTTGTCTCTCGTCGGCTTCTCTCACACTCATCTTACTTTCTTTAAATTCGATTCTCTCTTGCGCGTGTTTGTCTGCTCTGCTACATCTCTGTCTCATCATTCTCATATCTCCTCGCTCTCGGCTATGTGTCCCTGCCCACTCTCTATGTCTCCCTCTCTCCTCTCTTGGCGGACTCCTCCCGATCGACTGACCCCATCATCTGCTCACTTGGTCTCTCTGCACAAAATCACGATTGGTCTCACATGCTCGCAATTCGGTGAAGTATGTTTTTAATTATTTTAGCTTCCAGCTGGTCTTCATCCTATATCCAGCATAGGAACGGACGGATCTCAATTTAAGTGTGCATGAGGAATTATCTATTGATGGTTGCGTATTGTTCTCGGTCGTTTTGCTCAAAATCATAATAGGGATCGAATCATCGATCTCTGCTCTCTCTATTCCTCTTCTCATCTCATTCTCTCTTCTCCCCGTTCTTACATCTAGCTCAATTCTCTATGTCCTCTAGTATGTGTTCATCCCCTTATGTGTTGATCTGACCCTCTTCTCTCTCTCGATCTTCTCTCTCTCCTCTCTCTCTGCTTCTTCGTCTCATATAAATCTGCTCGTCTTCTCTCATCTCTGTCTCTCTCCTTGTCTCTCTCTCTTCTCTCTCTCGATGCTCTCATCTTTACTGCCTCTCTTACTCTCGTCTCTCTCCAGAAGCTCGTCTCGTCGATCATCGCTCTCTGATTATGCATCGATTGAAAGTTGCTATCAGAACTAATTATTAGTTCCAGGCGGAAGCTGGGTCATTTTACGATGGTCTGGGTCATTTACATGTCTGAATAAATCAATCATCGTATGTCACAGATCTCATCTCGCACTTAACAGCGGGAAAGCGAATGCTTTTGTTTGCAATCACCCCGATTTCAAGAGTAAAATTATTTTACACTGGAATTTAAGTTTTACTTGATTATATTCTCTAATGTTTTGAATGAGTCGTTTAAAGCACTGAGATACTTCCTCAAAAACTTAATAGAATTCAAACACATATAATCACACCTACATAAAGCGAACAAACACGCATACACCCACACCCACTCAAACTCGCTTTCGTGACCGGGGTCATAGGGTCCCGGGCGGAGAAGGCGGGATGACCTTGCTTTTTCGGGGCCAAGGCGTCGCTCGCCGGCGCCGACGTCCTGTTGCGGTCGATGCCGGCGGATCCTCCGTCGCCCAAGTGTGACATACGATGCACGCGGCCCTTCTGCATGCGGTGAGAGAGGCAGCCCTCTGAGGTGGCCAAGGTAGGGTGTTCAGGCTAATCCTATCCCCTCCTTGTCTCGTGTTTCCACTCCCGCGAGCGTGCTCAGATGTATACAAGAGCTGGGGATCCTTGGCAGAAAAGAGCGATCTTGAAATATGCCGTTTGACCCTCTGCAGAGGCTGTGTTCCCTCGGTACTTAGGGGTGGCTCAGCCTTTGTGTCAGCCTAGTTATCAGTCGCCTTTTTGCATGGCTGTCTTTCTGTCGACCTCCGCCTCCGGGATGACTGCATAGGCAGAGAGCAGCGCCTAATTTTGGAGAAGCGAGCGGTCCTTCAGGCAATCGTAAGACTGTAAACAGAGGCTCGGTTATATTTCTTGGTTTATTTTTATCACTCTTCAACTATTTCGAGCTTTACACAGATGTCTATTCATCACAGCATACGCAGCTTTTGATTATCAATTGAATATGCTTCAATACTTTCTAACATAACTCATTTTGTTTGCCTATTATATGATATATTATATATATATATTAATAGTATGATTATATATCATCATATAGTTTTGTGGTGTGTGTGGAGTGTGTGTGTGTGTGTGTGTGATGATTGTGTGTTGTGTGTGTATATGTATGTATGTATGTTATACTTGTATATATACATACAATATGTGAATACTCATATTATATTATTTACTATATATACTATCGTTGGTTATGTATATTTACTAGGTATAGTAGGTATTATAGTATATATATATATGTCGTGTGTGTGTGTTGTGTGTGTGTTGTGTGTGTGTATATATATATGTATATATATAATGTATAATGTGATATATATTATGTATAGTATATGTATATTATATGTATAATGATATCATATATTAATTACATATTTATTTTATATATATATATTTATATATTTATACGTATCATATAATATCATGTAAGGTGGAATATACTGTATACACTTAATATTTTATGCTCTACTTATAATAAAACAGCTTATATATTTCCATGCGTGGTATACTTAAAATTAATTATGTGTATATATGGATACATATGGGATAGGTGAGTCCATTATATTTTATATTTATATATATCTTGTAAACACTATATATTGTCACTATATATATACTATA